GCCAAAAGGCCGAGCAGTGACAGTCACAGATTACAAGAGCACGGCAAGCCGTGTGGTAAGGTAGCCTAGCCAAGCCGTGGCAGCTACCTTGTCAGCATGGTCCCTGAACCGGTGTGAGAAGAGTTCGAAGTCATTTACAATGTTCTGAATGGTAGTGCGAGAAGAGTGATCTTAAGAGCGAAAAACAGTAGCGTTACGAGAGTCCCAAATCCTCCACAGCACGACGAGAAGCACTTCCGGCCACACCCTGCTGTCAAGCTGCTGGGGAAGGGTGACCAGCCAGAGATCTTGGAACCTGGGGGTAGCGGAGAGGCCTAGGTGCACCCAGATCTGCATGGCCCGCGAGCAGGCAATGAACAGATGAGTAGTGTCTTCAGAGGAACCAGCACATCGAGGACAGCTTGCAGAATCAGCCATATGTTTGAACGACAGATTTGCTCGAGTATTTAGGCGTCCTCTGAAGAGAAGCCAAGCAAACAGTTTGAGTTTATGCGGCGCCCTGGATCTCCAGATTAGGTCGGCATGATCATCCTCAGCATCTTCTTGCATCAGGATTTTGTAGGCAGACTTGGAGGAGTAGTTTTGCCCATACAGCAAGAATCGCTCATCCTTCTCAGCCGTCAGTTGGACATCCTGCAATAACAAGCAAAGAGCAGCTAGCTCGCGCGAGCCGGCCGAGGTTATCCTGTTGGACAGGTTCGCATGTATCCCATCTCGCATGATATGAACCACTGGGATGAAAAAATTTGTGAAGTGGGAATAAAGGCACGGGAAAGCAGAGGCAAGAGTGGTCGACAGTAGCCAAGTATCTAACCAGAAAAAGGTTTTCTGACCATTATTGGTTAGCACAAAGGTGGTGTTTAGCAAATTCTGCAACTGCTGTTGGATTATTTTGGTTAGGAAAGAAGGGTTTTGGCAGGAAGCAAGGTGGGATAGGCTGCATAGGTGTTGTTTGTCTAACCAGGAAATCCATGGCAGTTGTGTGTTTTCAACATGTGTGAGGTATTTGAAAGCAAACTTCATAAGAAGACATTCTGTGTAGCTAAGTTCTTAATGCCTAGACCACCATAAATTTTCGGTTTGCAAACATTTTTCCAAGCAATCAAGCATTTGGAGCCTGAGCATGTCTCCTCGGCAGCCCAAAAGAAGGCCCGTCTAATGGCGTCCAGCGTCTTTAGTGTCTTCTTCGGAATTTTGAAAACTGACAAAAAGTAGGTTGAGAGAGAGTCCAGAACGGCGGAAATGAGCACGAGCCTCCCAGCTCGATTGAGCAGTTTCACGCACCAGCCGGGCAGGAGGGATCGGAAAGAAGAGATGAGAGGCTGGAAGGCCGAGGGGGGGAGCTTGGTGGGGGAGAGGGGAAGACCGAGATAGGTTTGGGGAAACCCAGCAGTGGCACAACCAAAAATCTGCACAATTGAGGAGGCAGTTGTGGCATCTACATTCATGGGGACGAAAGTTGTTTTTGTGAAATTTATACAGAGGCCGGTTGCAAGAGCGAAGTCGTCGAGAAGCTGCTTGAGCTTGCGGGCCGCCATAGTGGAAGCATGGGCAATGATGAGCGTGTCATCGGCGTATTGGAGAATAGAGGGCGGTAGGTCATGGTAGACCGGATGGTGAAGCTCGTTTTCTTGATCGGAGGCAGCAGACAGGATGAGCTATTGAAGCACATCGGCAACGATGATGAACAGATAGGGTGAGATGGGATCACCCTGTCGGAGACCATTTTTGCACCGGATCCAGCTACCAGGTACGCCGTTTAGCATGACTGCGGTTTTACCGGTCGAGAGCAGGTCCTCAATCCAGGCACAGAAGCGATCTGGAAAACCCCGATGGCGTAGAATTTTGAGTAGAGAAGGCTAGGAAATGGAATCAAACGCCTTTTTGAAGTCAAGTTTGAGGACCATTGTTGTTGCTTTTCGTTTATGACAACAGTTAAGGGAATCTGCCGCGTAAATAAAATTTTCAGCAATGCATCTGCCAGAAATAAAGCTTGTTTGATCACCGTGAATGAGAAGAGGAATGAAAGGTTTTAGTCGATTAGTGAGGAGCTTGGCAATGCCTTTAATTGGGCAGTTCTCAGGGAGATAGGATGGAATGCATCCGCGGTGTTGGCACCATCTTTTTTAGGTAGAAGTATAGTGAAGGCTCTGTTAAAGCGCTCCGTTTGGGCTGTGAGATTATAGAAGTCATGAAAAAAGGCAATGAGATTGTGCTTGATGGAATTCCAAGCCGAACTGTAGAAGCTAGGGCCAAAGCCATCGGACCCTGGGCTAGCATTAGGATTCATGTGCAAAAAGGCGAGTTTTATTTCGTCGGAGGTGAAAGGGGCATCCAAATGGCGAAGTTGAGGCACCGAGGCGGCGTAAAGATTTGATAGATCAAAATTCCAAGAAGTGATCGCCGGGCAGCCTAGTAGATTTTGATAAAAGTCTTTCAGGATCGTGGCTTTTTGATCATGGGCGTGGAAATCCTGGTCTAGAATTCGAAGCAAAGGGATCTAATTTTTACAGAAGCGTTGGGAGGCAGAGACGTGAAATTTTTTTGAGTTTTCGTCCCCCCAGATGGCGCGCTTAACTTTTGCCCGTTGTCTGATTGCCATCATACGATCGCGGATGGCTCGATGGAGGGAGCGCTTTAGGATAGATCGCAGCGAGGCCTCAGCAATGGAGAGAGGGCGAGATTCCTCTTTGGCATCAATCAGATTAAGAACAGTCTTACATCTTTGTTCCCTGGCAGGTGGAGGTCTAAGGGTTTTAGCCCATTGTTTGAGGCGCGAGCGGCAGGTTTGAAGCGTTTGGGCCAGGTTGGAAGAGGGGGATGAGCTGGAGCGGATGCGCTGGGCGGCAGACTGGTCTATGATACGTCGGCAAGCCGGGTGCAGGGCCCAGGAGCGTTCAAACCTAAAGAGGCGGGAGCGAGGGATGGAGGTCGAGATGGAGACGACAAGTGGAACGTGATCAGAAGTGAGGCGAGGCAGGGAGGTGAGTGAGCAGTTTGGGAAGGAATATCTAAGCAATGTTGAAGAAGGCACGGTCGAGGCGTTCCAGAATAGGTGAGTCTTAGTTATTTGACCAGGTGAACTTCCTGTCTAGGAGAGGTAATTCCATAAGCGCGAGGTGATCCAAGGCGTCGTTGAAAAGAGATGCTTCTAGATGATGAAAATTGGGATTATTTTTCTCATGGGGGAAACGAATCAGATTGAAGTCACCTATGACTAGCCACGGAGTGTTGTTCGGTGGAGCAATACTTTTCAGTTCGTCCAACAAAACGCTTTTGAGGGATCGAGCAGTTGGCGCATACATGTCGGTAACAACGAAAGGGGTTTGGCAAGCGAGAGATTGTAGCGTAACGGAGCTACAGAAAGAGTGATTGGCGTGTGATTTAACCGATAAGGAGGAGGTAGAGACGGTTGTTAGAAGTCCACCTGCAGTGCCACAAGCTGGTAGAAAGCTAGCGTCATCGAGAAACGAGGGGAGAAAGGATCTGAGTTTTAGCTGAGTAGGGGCGGAGTTTACTTTCCTGAAGTAGGAGGAGATTTGGTTCTAGAGAGATTAATTCAGATAGAACTTTACATTTTCCATCATCCCCTAAACCTCTTACATTCCATGAACAGAATGACAAGGTAGAACTAGACATAAAGCACTACAACAAACACCATCATAAAGGAAGAGTACATGACACAAGGAAGCAAACTACTGATACAGACAGAGACGAATACAGATAAGCTTGTCGGCGGACACAAGCAGTGGCAGCAGCCGGGCATGATACAGCAATGCATAAGTCACTTGGCCACGGCACCAGCAGAGGAGGCCACAAACTCAGCCTCATCAGGAGAAGAGCCACACTCGATGGCCAGAGCGGCGAGAGCGCGGGGGGAGCCAGGCTAAACATCATCGGGGTACAGGCGAGCAGAGCGCACAACATCATCGAAATCACGCGCAAAGTTGCCCAGCTCCAGGCGCTTGGCCTTTGCCTTGGACGCCTTATCCTGCATGGTTTCCTTCTTGTATGGCTCCAGCTCGGCGAGGCGAGCACTCCGCCTGATGTGCAGAACAGAGC